CTCCATGCCGGCATGTTGCATTCACATCTTGGAGCACTGGGTTGAAGTCTGGTCCCTCTTTCCCTGTGGAGACATAAACAATACCCTCCCCTTGGGTGGGTTAGTGCCCTATACCCCCACTACCCATTTCTTTTTGATTATTTTTTTCCCTTTCCCCACCTCCTTTTTAGCTGGCTACCATATGTATTCCTGTATTTGGTCTGGTCCCTGCTGTACTGCCTGGTCCTCATCCCAGGAATGCTTGTATACAGTAACTTTTTCCCTATGCCCCTTTTGCATTTTTTTTTAAAGCTCACCTCAGTGCACTCATGCCATTTTAACAATTTTATTGACATATGATTCACATGCCATACAATTCAATGGTTTAATTATATTCAAAAGAGTTGTACAGTCATCACCACAATAAGTTTTAGAACATTTTCTTCATCATTATGCCCATTATTATTAGCTCTCTGTTATCCCCCAACCTCCCTTGCCATAACTTTAAGGAATTATTCACCTAGTTCCTGTCTATAGATTTACCTATCCTGGATTTCATATAAAGAAAGTCATACCACCCTTCAAGAACAGAAATAGAAGTAGTGATACCAGGAGGGTAGGGGTAAAGGAGGGGGGAGAGAAGGGCAGGAAGGGGAAACGGGTCACAATGATCTACACATAACTCCCACCCCCTGAGGGCGATAAACAACAGAAACCATGAGGGAAGAGAGATAGCGATCAGTGTAGATATGAAAATAATAATAATTTATAATTTATCAGGGGGTCACAAGGAGTAAAGGGAGGAGGGAGAGAAAAAAGAGGAGCTGTTACCAAGGGCTCAAATAGAAAATAAATGTTTAGAAAATAATGATGGGCAACATATATACAAATATGCTCATACAATTGATGTATGGATTGTTATAAGAGCTGTAAGAGTCCCTAATAAAATGTTCTTAAAAAGAAAAAGAAAAGCATACCAAAAACAAACAAACCCCAAAACTATCAATAACAAAATAAAACAGAGAAAACCCCCAATTGAAGAGAGAGCAGAAGATTAACGAAACGAGAAAAAACTAAAAGTGGGTCAAAAGGAAAAATAAATGATAATATGTTAAATTTTAAACTAACTATATCTGCATTAATCCACTTTCCAATGTACTGTGTCTGAGGGAAAGACCAGTCACTTCCCTGGTCAATGATCTGAGGGAACTTACTAGAAATTTGATCCAAATGGGAACCCTGTTGGCATAGTGGTTACATCTTGAGCTGCTAACCAAAATGTGTAAGACCACCAGCCACTCCATGGGAGATACAAGGGGTGTTCTATTCCTGTACAGAGTGACAGTCTCAGAAACTCACAGGGGCAGCTCTACCCTGTCCTACAGGGTCACTCTGAGTTGCAATCAATCCCATGGCAGTAAGTTTGACCTTCTTTTTTTTTTTTTTATCCAAATTAAAACTCTGCAAATGGGTGTTGGGCTTTTACTCACATTCATACCCCTCTGAAACCTAGGTGCTCAGAATTTAATCTGTAAAAAAATTCCCTCCTCTAGTCTTTGATTTTATTGTTTACAATTTTTGGATCACATGGACTGGTGTACTTCTTCCCTGTGGACTTAACTGATACTTCATTTAGATGGCTACTTGTTTTTTAAGACAAGCTGTTAAGACCCCAGATATTATTTCTTCACTGTGTTTTACTATAACCCCATATCTTAACTGACCACTTCATGAAAACAAGAATTGAGCAGAACCATTTAGATCATACCCATTTTGTATTAGCCAAGACTCTGCTCTGTGTTTGCAGTATGGATCATCAAGTATTGTCTGTCCACAAGGTAATGAGTTCAAAATAATAACGACTCCATCTCTTCCTTTCTTGAAGAAAGAAAACAGATAAAGTCATTTTTACCTAAGCTTTCCTGTGGCGTTAGAGAGAACACGCATATTCGGAGGAAACGAGTGGTGGGAGGATCAACAGCACACTTGGTAAACCTGGATGAGAAGCCACAATGTTTACTTCCAGGGGGTGGGTAGGGGGGCTGTGTAGCTGGGCGAATGTGGGGAATGATGTAATTAGAAGACACTGGGATCTCAGGATGGGAACATTTTAAAGGTACCTCTGTAATGCAGTCTGACAGAATGGTAGTGATCATATGCATTTCTTTTGCAGGGAGACTTCCCATGGCAGATGGCGATTAAGGAAGATGATAAAATAAACTGTGGAGGAATTTATATTGGTGGCTGTTGGATACTGACTGCTGCCCATTGTGTCAGGTAAACGATGTCTTCAGTTGATCTTGAATGTCCTGAAACAATGGAAAATAGGTAATACCGATTGTGGCATATCTCAGAAAAGTCATTGAGAAGAAGCACTTTATTAACTGCTCTCAGATATTTATGACCGAGCCATCAGATGCCTATTACCAGAACCTGGTGGGTCCTCACCGACCAAATTGGTTGATCCCAGGTAGTGAGGTCATCAAACCTTCCATAGCTGCCAAGTTACTTCACTTGGCTAAGGTACATAGTGGAGAAGTCAATAGCTACAACCTACCTTTTGTAGAGCTGGGACCAAATGGTTTGGAAAAGTTTATAATTGAAGAATTTGTAAGGAGATAATACTAACCCAGCATTTTCTTTAGCCTTAACCTCAACAAGGTCGTTGTTTAAAGAGCTGCATACATTCAAACACTCCAAACATAAAACTCATTTTTTCCCATCGATATTTTTCAACCAATAAAGGAACAGATGAGAACTTGTGTCTAATTAACTCACCAAGCTAATCAACTGCAGTACTGACTGGCTTGTTCCATGATTCTAGATGAACTGCTTATAAGAGCAACATGACACAAGGCTGTGATATGTTAGCTGTCTGAGAGCAGGACCATTGCACTCCACCACTCAGCGGGCACTACTCCATGGTTTGGAAGTTGCCTAGACAGCAGTGGGTGCTGACTGATGGGCTATGCATCCCTGAGAAATTAGTCCGCTGAAGAGTTGAAGGAGACTTGACTGCCGAAGGACAAACTCATGTTATATCCTTCTTTGACAGGGTTTTGGAATTATCAAAGAAGTAGTCAGTGTCTTGGTTCAGATACAGCATTGGCGTGTGAGGAGGTGAGAAATAGAAAATTCTTGTAGGGCCAATAAGGTTAGCTGTAAGTGACACAATGGCAGCACCCAAAGGATGTTGATGATGGAATCAAGGCTAACTTGGAGAAGGGTAACGCTCAGAACTCTGGTTTCCCTTCTGGCCTTTGGAAGTCAACAACAGCATTTACTGAGCACCTGCCACCTACTAGATTCTGTACCAGGTACTTCTACAAATGCTACTTCATGTAAAATTCCCAACAATGCTAAGAAGTAGATCTCTCCCTCGCCCCACCCCTGTTTTACAGATAAGCAGACAGACTGAGAAGCTGCAGGCTGTGGCTAAAGCCAACAGACTAGGTAGTTACTAGCAGAACTAGGAAGATAAAATCGAGCTCCAGCATTTGACAGTAACTTAGATGAAGGCCTATTGAGCAGATCTTCTCCAACCCCAGGGTTCAGAGGGATAGTAAATAGGTCGAATGATGAAAACGCTGAACGATGTCCACAGAGATCATAGAGAGCAGTAAACTCAATCAAATTGCCTCCATCTGAAAGACACTCTTCTGCTGGCGTCTGTGATACAGAGAAATCCTGGTTTCCACTGATTTCTCTGGGCATGGTTGTCTGCCTTCTTTGCAGCGCTCTCCTCCTGGGGAGGAGCATCATGGCTCCAGCTATTATTACTATTGCTCCACCGAGCTGCCGGAGTGCATCGATTCTCAGTCAGGTAGACTCTTCTCTTCTTTCTCCTTCGCCTTCAGGTGACTTTTTTTTTTTTTTTAACATTTTATTAGGG